AGAGGGGCGGGGCCGAGCGCCACCGAAGGCGTCTGCGCCAGAGGGGCGGGGCCGAGCGCCACCGAAGCAGTCTGCGCGACAGGGGCGGGGCCGAGCACACTTGGACGGGCTCGCGGGTCGGCTGGTGGGGGCGGGGGAGGAAGAGTTGCCGGGGGCCCCGGAGGGACAGCCTCCCGCACCGATGCATCCTTGGTGTGTACGCGGCACTGGTTCGGAGGGCCTAGGGAGTCTAAGTTTCTGGACGCCGTGCTAAGCAGTCTGGATGTCACTTTGTTTTCAGGTATATGCGGATGGTGAAAATCTGTTTATGGAGCACTGTGTGTTGGGCACTTTTATAAGCACTTTACATGGGGACCTACTGTAATCCGAAGCTGTGCGGTTTGCACTACTCACAAGAGAAGTGAAGCACCGAGATGCTGAGTGTCCTGCCCGAGGCTTCGTGTCTAGTAAGTGGAACCCGGAGTCCTGGCCCTGGTGATAGAGGAGAGCTGCAGAGACTGCCCTCCTTACTTGTTGCCCAGAATGACCGAGAACTGACATACAAGGGCCTAAGGCTTCCAAAACTCCTGAAAAAGTAGTGCGACCTCCATGTTAATGACCCGTTTCTCCAGCTGCCTCCTCTAAAGGTTAGTATGTCACCAAATTTTGAGTTATTGCATCTTCTTAGGCTTCAGTATGTTTCATTCTTCCTCTCCCCCTTGTCCGGTGCCATCCTTCTGACCCTTTATTTTGCTTTCTTTATCATTTTCATCTACTTTCTATCCATCTCTTCTCTCTGCCTTCTCTAGAAAAAAATATGTGAAGGCAAAGGAGGAAACTAGGTATAAGGGACAAATATTAAAGATCTAAGTTTCCGAGGATATGGTTGTTTCATTCCCCTTCCGTCTTTGTTCCAGCTCCCAAGAGTGAGAGCTTAGGGGTCACATAGCCCAAAGAGCCTGACCTGCCTGGGGACCCAGCGTCTATGGGGAGCCTCTTCCATTGCCACCCACAAACGTCTTCTGTACCCATCACTTATTGATTCCCGCCTCTCCCAATGAAAAATTTCCTTCCTTTGAAAAATGTTCCTATAGGGGTGCTCGGGTGGCTCAGTCGGTTAAACAGCTGCCTTCGGCTCAGGTCATGATCCCAGGGTGCTGGGATCGAGTCCCGCATCAGGCTTCCTACGCAGTGGGGAGCCTGCTTCTCCCTTTGCCTGCCGCTCCCCCTACTTGTGCTCTCTGTCAAATAAATAAATAAAATCTTTAAAAAAAAAATGAAAAAGGTTCCTATAGTTTCTACCTCTGCCCCACTCCCGTTCTCCCACTTTGAGCTGCCCGTCCCCGCCATGCTGCATCTTTGACTCTCCACACCTTTCTTTTCAGTGGTCATATAAACACACTCATGCCAGACTGTTCATTGGCCAGATCAACACCTTGCTTAAACCTCCTTTGTTTTGCCTACCTCCACTTTAGAGGCTGGAAGAGTATTTATTTTTTCAGCCTCCTTTGCTACTGGCCTCCATATAACGCAGCTGTGGTCAGTGAGATGTAAGCTGAAGTTTGCTGAGGGGCTTCTGGGACAACCTTTCTTGATAAAAGGCACAGATGTGCTGGTGCTTCCCATCCCCGTTCTTCCTACCTTGAATGCACATACTTTACCTGAAGCAGAGCAGCCATCATGTGACCGTGGTGGAAAAGCCATGGAACTAAAGACATTGAATTAATTTTGTCTTTGAAACGATGCCACCCCCCTCCAGATTTGTTATGTGAGGAAAAAAAAAAAATCCCTGCTTGCTTGTAAGCCTTGTTAACTGGGCTTTCCAGTATTTGTAGCCATAAAGCTCTTCTGATAGATACACCCGCTCTCCATGCTGGTCTCCCTCTAGTTATTTTTATCAGTGTCTCCTTTCTCAGGTAAGTGAATGAGTCCTTTTCAGCCTTTAGCTCACTCTTCAACCCACTAATATTTAACAGAGGTTATCAGTAACCAAAACCAAAGGCCATTTTTAATTATCTTACTTTAACCCTCCACGGCATATGAAAATACTAACTATTCTTACTTTATGTGAAATTCTTTTACTTTTGTGCCAGCATCTTCTAATTTTTCCTTTTGCGTTTCATTTTCGTTTTGGTTGCTGTTTCCTCTCAGCTCTCACTGGTTCCACTTCCTCCACTTCCCCCATTCAGTGACAGTACTCTCAGAATACCCTTCACACCTGCCCTGCCACTTAGTCTAGTGTCTGTCAGGAATCTTCACTTGGATTCCCACAGACTCATTAAAATGCCCCCAGACTGAACTTACCATTTCCCCACAAAATCGGTCAACTTTGTGTGTTCTTAATTATGGTACTCCATCCACCCAAATAAATTCAAGTTCCTACATTTAATCAATTACCACGTTATCTAGATTCTGCCTCATTATTGCTTGAATTCTTCCTTTCCTCTCCCATGCCACGGCCAGTGTTTTAGTTTAGCCCTTGAAAAGCAAAGAATATATCTTATCCATTTTGATCTTCTCATCATATCTATCACATATTTAGCACTTATTATGTATGAAATAAATGAAATTGTCTTAACTACTGTCATCACTAGAGATCTATAAAACCTACGATTGTTTTGAATACATTTTGAGTTGCAAAGATTTTGTTAATATGTCACATTTTCATGTCTATTAGTGTTTAACCCTTTCTCCTTTTCACTTTGATACAGAGTATGGTACAAAGATACATATTTGAATCCTATGTACTTAGAGACTATATTTAAGTTATACTGTTTTCTAAATAATTAGCTTACTTAACAGTAGTTTAATGACTGTTAGTTGAGAACTCAAAATAGCATGCTATTGCATTAAGATCTGTACAATTGTTTCATCACCCGGGTAGCAACCAGCCTAAGTTTTAGGGGAGAAAATAACAGTGCAGGAGGAGGGGGAGGGACATGGATGGATAATACTAGGATTTGGTAGAGGTAGAGAATTTTGACTCAAAACATCCAGGTAAACCAGATTGTGAAATAGGAGCATCTAGGTAACATATATAACATGGTAAAAGATCAAGGGTTTCCCAGTATTGGTTATATTTATAGGTTTATAGCATTTTAGAGCTAATAGGGATCCTGGAGACCTTCTAAATTCAAAATCCCTCATTTACCAAATAAGGACACTGTGACCTGGTGAAAGTAGGTGACTTGTCTAAGTTAGTGGCAGATCAGGACTACATACCAAGTCTTTGGGCTGTCCAGTTTAGCACTCTCACCTTTTCTCTCCAGTGTGAAGTCTCTGATATCCAAAGAAGATCTACAGTAAGATACAACAGAACTTACCTTCAGCATGAATCGTCATTGTTTAGAACATTAGCTATTTAAACCTTCTGGTGTAAAGGAATGTTTTACATTCTGAATTAAGATTTCTCTATTTTATATGGTTTCTTTGTGGTGGTATTATCTGATATAGAAACTTCAACTTCAACTAAAAGATTCCTACAATCATTACATTTATTAGGTTTCTGTGTTACATGACTTATCTGATTATCACCAAAAAGTTAATCCTGGTGAAGGGTTCAATGAAAAAACTCAGGTATGAGTTCTCTGATGTCGTGTAAGGTTTGTACTCCGACTGAAGGCTTTCCCACATTCGTTACACTGATAGGGTTTCTCTCCTGTATGAGTTCTCTGATGCACTATAAGGGATGAATTTTTAATGAAGGCTTTTCCACACTGATCACATTCATAGGGTTTCTCACCAGTATGAATTCTTTGATGTTCAATAAGGTATGCACTCTGGCTGAAGGCCTTTCCACATTCGTTGCATTCATAAGGTTTCTCTCCAGTATGAATAACCTGATGTACAGTAAGGGAAGATCGCCCAGTGAAATGTTTTCCACATACCATACATTCATAAGGTTTCTCTCCAGTATGAATTCTCCGATGTTGAGTAAGAGATGAATTCTTGCTGAAAGCTTTTCCACACTGATTACATTCAAAAGGTTTTACTCCAGAGTGAAGTCTCTGGTGTTCTATAAGGTATGTACTTTGGCTAAAGGATTTCCCACATTTGTTACATTTGTAGGGTTTTTCTCCAGTGTGATTTCGTTGATGCAGAGTTAGGGTTGAGCTTTTACTAAAGGCTTTTCCACATTCACTACACTCATAGGGTTTTTCTCCAGTATGACTTCTCTGATGTACAATAAGGTGCATGCTCTGACTAAAGGCTTTCCCACATTCATTGCACTCATAGGGTTTTTCTCCTGTGTGAGTTCTCTGATGAACTGTAAGATTCATGCTTTGGGTAAAAGCTTTCCCACATTCGTTACATTTGTATGGTTTCTCTCCAGTATGAATCCTTTCATGTTGAATAAGGGATGAATTCTTACGGAAAGCTTTTCCACACTCTTTACACTGATAGGGTTTCTCTCCAGTGTGAGTTCTTTGATGAACAGTAAGGTTCATGCTCTGGCTGAAGGTTTTCCCACATTCGTTACATTTGTAGGGTTTCTCCCCAGTATGAATTCTTTGATGTACAGTAAGGGAGGAGCGTTCAATGAAGTGCTTCCCACATACATTACACTTATAGGGTTTCTCCCCAGTATGAATCCTCTGGTGCTTAAGAAGAGATGAGCTCTGGCTGAAGGTTTTCCTGCATTCATTACATTCATAGATTTTCTTTCCTACAAACATACTTTGAGTTTTAATTAATTCAGAATTCTGTTTAGTGTCTTCTCCATGTGAATTCTGATTATGGGGCCTTTGTCCCACAGGAATACTTTGTTGTATATCAAGGATTGACCCCTGACTAGAACATCTTTCAAATTCATGACCTCCACATGCCCTCCTCTCAGGGAGGGTTTCCTTATGAGTAACGGCCACTTGGCGCAGATGTCTGTCCTGGTTTTTCTGTTGCCCATCTAACCAATTATCAGGTTCCCAGGCTTCCCCTAAAGAAGAAGGCCAGAGACCTTCCCTTTCCATCATTACCCCATAGGATAAATATTCAGTAATGCTGGGCTTTATAGTTGATTCTTTGGTTTCAAGTCTTGTCTCCCAGTCTGAAAAAAATAAAAATTCAAATACACATCGGTTTCTGTGCTGGAAGACAAAAAACTGTCTAAGGTGGGAATGAGAGAAAGAAACTGAGAATAACTGTGGGGCACATGTGAGAGCTTTCAAAGATGTCCCTACAATGAGGAAGAAAACCAGAAGGGAGGGAAAGAACAGTGAACCAGTTCATAAATAACAGGAGAACTAGAGGAGGCAGTAAGCAGAGAAAAGAGTAAGCCTGTGTATGCAGGAGGGATGGACACTGAAATCACTGACCTTTGGACAAGGCTAAATAATGAAGATGGAATGAAGGAAAATATACAGACAAGCTGGGATCGGGGGAGGCAGATCAGAAAACCCTGGTATTCCCACCAGCAGTTTCTTCTCCCCTGCAATGCTGCCTCTAATTCTGACACTAAATCTTTGTACACCACCACAGTGTGACACCGTGAAAGATTGTTGGCTCTGGAATCAGACACACTTGGGTTTAAACCCTGACTGTTAACTTACCCTCTTAACTAGTTGTTTCTCTGGGTTTTAGTTTTCACAGACCTAAAATAAAGATAAAAATAATCTGATGAGGATTAAGTAAGATAATGCATATAAACTACCCTTCAGGAATATGCTTGTTTGGAACATAAAATACCACAACCTACTTGAAACTTAAGGGAGGATGACACAATCTAAAGGTTCACCCTACCACCAACTTTCAACAGGCTATAAGTTTCTCATTCTCTTTAGGTAAGAGGGTCCTACAGGGCCCTACCATTTCCTACTAAATACCCATTCATTAGAGATGTGAACTGCCCTCATTCAAAGATTTGATACACAGAAAGTAACAAAGTAATGATACACAGAAAGTAACAAATTTGGAAACTATGTAGAGGTTCAAGGAAAAAAATTGTAAAGTAATAAAAACAGGGAGGGAGAGGCAAAGCAGGATCTGTTGAGCTGCTTGAGATGGGGCTGAAGGAAGGACCTTGTGACCACTCTGACTTTATTTTATCAGATCCCCCTTCTTATCCTAGACAAAGTGGCTGGGGGTGGGGACCGGGCAATGAGAGGCAGAGGACAGAAAACTACAATCTGAGAATCAGCTGTCAGCTTGATCAAAATTACCAGAGCCAAGATCAACACTGAACCAACAAACCAAAGGCCTGTGAGCAGGAGGCTTTACTATGAAGCATGAGGTATGCATTAACCGGACCACCTCCTTGCAACCTGACCTGCTTATGTAAAAAAAGAGAAAAAGTGGAAAGCCACGCAGGCTCCTCTTCTAAAGCCACCAGGTAACCCCAGAAAGGACCTCTCCAATTGAGTGTGAATATCAACAGGTAACACATGAACTGGAGGCTACCTCCTGTCCTGTCACTATATCACATCCAACTGTGCAACCAAAGCTCTACCCAATAAACAACATAAAGGGCAAAGGAGGAGCCATTCACACTGTTAGACAAATACAAACTCAAGACAGAACTGCCCTCATTCAAAGATAAATGATACACAGAAAGTAACAAATGTGGAAACTATGTAGAGGTTCAAGAAATAAAATTTTAAAATAATAGTAACAGGAGAATGAGGAAAAAAACATAAAAACCACCTGGAAAATAAACACTGGGAGAATAATGAAATGCTTCCAGTCATCAAAAGGCGTCAAAAAGGAAGTAAACAAAAACAGTGACATACTGGAAGGAGATCTTTGCAACACACGGCCCATACAGGAGGACTAGAACCTCGATCTGGAAAACAGTGTCGTGGAACACTAAGCCCAACAGAAAAATGGGCAAAAGACTTGAATAGGCACTTAAGAAAAGGAAACAGTGGTGGTGAGTAAACAAGCAAAGATACCCAATCTCAACAGTAACCAGGAGAAGGGAGATTAAAGCTCTAATAAGTAACATCCACCTGAGTAAAAAAATTAAAAAGTGCAGACTGATAGCTTCAGATTTTAGAAAGATGTGCTGTAATGCAAACTTTCACATACTGCTGGTGGAGATGTAATTTGGTTCCGGTGTTTGAAAAAGTTTAACACTACCTAGTCATGTAGAACAGGCACACAGACTGTGATTTAGCAAACCCACTAGTAGGTACTTACACTTAGGGAATCTGCTTTGCAAAGGTACACCACAATTCACAATTTTAAAGGTAACATCATGCACAAGAGCAAAAAACTGGAAACAACCCAATTGCTACCAACAACAGAATGGATAACTAAGTTGTGAAATATTTATAACAACAGGATAACTGAAAACAGTGAATGTTAAGGATGTCATGTTTGTGTCTCCCCAAAACTCACGTGTTGAAGCGTAATCCCCAATGAGATAACTTTAGGGGGAGAACCTTTGGAAGTCATTAAGTCATGAAGGTAAAGCCCTTATAAGAAGTGACAGATGACAGAGCTTGCTTCCCCTCTCTCTGCTCTCTACCATGTGCAGATGCAGTGTGAAGGCAGCTGTCCATGAAGCAGGAGGAGAGCCCTCACCAGGAAGCCAACCATGCTGGCCCCCCCATCTCACACTTCCAGCCTCCAGAACTATGAGAAATAGATGTCTGATGTTAGAGCTACCAAGTCTATGGTGTTCTGTGATAGCAGCCCGAACCAACAGAGAACATTAACTAAAGCTACGTAGAATAATCAGAATTAATAAATAATTTAAGCCAAGTCACACAAAAATATATATAGTAAGAGGCCATTTAGATAAAGTTTAAAAACAGGCTAAAACTAAATGTATTGTTTAGAGATTCCTTTATGGATGGCAATACTGTAAGGAAAAGCAAGGAAAGACAATTATCACAAATGTGGGAAGAATGGTTACGTCTTGGGTAAGAGGATGTGAATGAGAAGGCTCAAACAAAGCATCTAAGATACAAGCAATGGGGGCGCCTGTGTGGCTCAGTCGTTGAGCGTCTGCCTTCGGCTCAGGTCGTGATCCCAGGGTCCTGGGATCGAGCCCCGCATCGGGCTCCCTGCTCAGTGGGGAGTCTGCTTCTCCCCCTGACCCTCCCCCCTCTCATGTGCTCTC